TGGCAGCAAAGAAGGTGCAGCAGGGAAACACAAGCACAATTCAGCAACGTCGCATGAAAGGGAAAAGTTGAGTCCAGGTGTCAGGCATAAAATAGGTAATCAATCCACTCCCAATTCCCATTTAAAGATTGGTAAATTAAACGTTTTGATCCGGAATTGAACTAAACCAGTGATGCATTCATCCAGTATGCAGAGGACCAGGCGATCAAAGAGATCACAGTAACGAGTGAGACAGAGGGAAGCAATGATGAATCTTATCGTGCAATGGGAGAAGACAAAAGTGTCCTAAAACAGTGCAGTGTTGGTCCCACTTTGTCTGTCCCCAGCTCTCTTTAAGGCACCAGCATCTGAAGAGCTTGGAGAAGCTGTTTAAATGGTCCAATTAACGAGCTGATTCACGCCTTCATGGAGCCAGCTGGACTGGAAACTTGTAGACACACCAGTCCTCCTGCACAGATATTGGGGGATCCCTGGTCAAGTCACACTGGCCCTCCAGGAGAAGGGCTGCGGATCCCCCATTAGTTTTCCGCTACAAGCAGCTGTAACTATGTGGAATAAGGAGGCTTGGAATGCTGCCGATGTGGCTGAATTATTACAGCACTAGCAGAGCTGTCTGACTTTATTATAAAAGTGCTTTGGTCAAAACGTAAGAGTGAGGCACCACAGGCACTGCAGGAAGAGAGAAATGTGTTATTATTTTGTTCTTGTTTTATTTTTGGAACTTTTTAAAATATTAATAAAAACTGGCTCACAAAAAAAGATGGATGCAGTGCCCACAGCTGAAGAGATTTCAGAACTTGCACCGGCTCTTCTCAAGTCTACAGACAAAACTCTCAAGAGTGAGATCATCGTCCGAGAACAGCCCACCACTATTGAAAAACAAATTAACCTGCAAAAACTGGTTCATACAGAGCAGCGAACTCATAAATGGATGAAAAAGACTAAACAAAGCCGAATAAGTCCCACAAAAAAAAGCGCATCCTTTCCCACAGCAGGAAGAATCAAACCTGCTGTGGATCAGGCGCGTCTGTAATGGGCGACGCAGAGTGATGACTGCCAAGTCTGGCCAGGGCCCTGGGCAGCACTCTGCCCTCTGGCAAGCAGAGCGAGAGATGTACTTCAGAAGACAGGTCTTTAAATTACGGTCTATCATAAAGAGAGACGGCTGCATTCCGTCAATGAGAGACCAAAGACACCTGAATTCTGTGGACTCCCGGCTCATCAGTCACCTTCTAAAACATGAGAGACAGACAGATTCATATTTCCACACCCCCGGACATAAAAAAGGCCCTGTCAAGATGGGAAAATGGAGAGCGAAATGCTCTGCACTCAGCTTCTGAACCCTGAGAGGGCGACGCGCCCTTCACTGACCCCTGACCCTTGACTCCTGACCCGAGCGTTCCTCTTGCAACCTTCCGCGGAGCTGCGCAGTAACTACCAGCGCGGCCAGGCACCCAGCCTGGAACTGCATGTTGACCGCAGCTTCCCAGCACCCCTAGCTCCTGCACAGCTTTCCCAGCAGCTCGCTGGTCGCCCCAGCGCGGTCTTCCAATTTAACTTCATCAGCAAAGACTGAGCTGAAGATTGCAACTCACTTCTACGAAGTGTCCTAAAAGGTGTTAAGCTATGAAATGTTTCGGCATTTGATGCAATTATCTGTAATTTGCGTATTTGCACGGGCAGTTAATTGATTAACCAAGCATCTTGTAAACCTCACACAACGCTATATTAATTTAAATGAGTGTATGTTAAAGAATTCCACCTTATTTCTTATTCCACAATAGCAATCTGCAAAACAGGAAAAAACCAAAAGCGTGTCTGGATGAAACTATTAGCCATCTTAAAATGAGTGTTGGGGGTTTTCACCCTCATGGATTTCAAGCTGAATTTTTTCTACATTTGACTCAACTCCTTAAAAAAATCCTGGCTTCGCTGACGTTTAATCTTTCCCCTTTAAAAGTTGCACTTCAGAGAGCGATTCCTCCTGTTTTAGCAATTGGGAATCTGTGGTTTTGCCTAGCTGTGGGTTTTTGCAATAAATAAATGCCTGAAAAAGTCGATACTGTGAATAACTTTGTCTTTAACGGCTTATATTATACTTTTTTGTTTACTTTAAGAACTGGTAGACCTAAATCTATGCCATACAAACACTTTTAAGTCAACAAAATATTTCCTTAAAAGCCAAACAAATGCACGCTTCTTTTCTGCTATCAGCTGAGATTACAAATGAGTTTCAGAGCCATTTATGACAGAATTTCAATAAACTGTATACTTGGCTTATGGAAAATAAATTGCTCCTTAACCAGGGAGAGCCCAGGGATAATGATTTTTGTCAGCAATGGTTAGAAAACCCAACACATTTTCCCACCAGATTAACACCGTGGACAGCTGCAAAGACTGACCACTTAAACATGCCTGGACAGATATTTACCAATGCCTCGGAAGAACGCGACCTGCGTTCGTTTTATTTGGTTTCATAATAATGGGGGGAGAAAAAAACTCTTCGAAGAGCTGGCGAGAGAAGACAAGAAAGCAGATCTCACAGTTTCTCGGAAGGCTGTCTGGAGCCTGCTGGACAGCTCTGTAAGCGAAGCCGAGAGCAGCAGAGCGCCTGGCTCCATGTCCTACATTCTCGGCTAAATGTGGAACGCTCTGAAAATCACAGCTCCTACAGGGCTCAGACACCGGTCGCTGCGACTCCGCAAAGTTTCACACCAAACTGCAGGCGGCGACAGATCGGCGAAACCAAGAGGGCCGAGACGGATGAGACAAGATCACTTTACTGGCCGCAAACAATTTCTTGCAATAGGAAATGTGTCTTTCCGCACACCCCAACTTGCTCGCCACGAGACACACGGGCACACAGCGGCGGCCGCTGAGTGGAGCCCAGATGGACAAACGAAAGGAGCCAGCCGGCTGCCTGGAGCAAGGCCCGAACAGGCCCGGCACTCGAAGTCATCTTCCGGACGCAGGAGTTCCGACAGGTGGAAAGAGCTTCAGGAAAGTGGTCTTGTCTACTTTGGGAAAATACCGGAAGGGCGCCATTTTGTTCTGCTGGGTCTTCCCACCATATTAACGACCTCTCCCAAGCACGGCGTGCCTTTTTTTACCGACTGCCTCTAGAACTCTCTTGCAGCCGAAGAGCGGACTGCCGAAGGCCACAGGCTGCAAGTTCTCAAACACCACGGCTGACCCAGAGCATAGGTAGAAAAGGCCAAAAACGGCCTGGACACAGTTGCCTTTTAACTCTTCAATGTTCAAAGATGGTTTTAGAGGTATGGGGGAGGGAAAAAGCTTTTAATTGTAATATCTCGGAGAAAAAAGAAACAAAAAAAGAAAAATGGGAGAAAAATGGTTTTCGAAAAACAGTTTTGATCTTAAATTCATATTTATTAAGATTGGTCGAAGCCCATTCCGGTCATGTCCAACGCCTGCTGGTTGCCCGTTTAAGAAAGGCACACTGGAGACTAAAATTGCCTTTCCTGGCTCTCACAATGATGCAGTTCCAGTTCATCAACTCTGCTGAGCCAGTACTGCTAGCATTACAATATCTTCTGTAAGCAGGGAGGGTGATTAAAAGTAGACCGATACTTCACATCATTAGGAGGATTGGTGATTGTGAAACCCACAAGCATGAAAAACTGCAAGAAACAAAATAAAACGTCCAACTCCGTCTGTCAAGAAAAACCTCCTCTATTATTTCTGCTCACTAAACTTTAAAAAAAATCATGTTTCTCTTAAGCCGAATTATACACGTACCCATTCCTTAAGTGCATTTCAGGGTGTCCGAGACTATTTCTGTTCATGTTTGCGTATGTATTTATGGATGTAAAACCATCCTAGAGCAAGCCCTGAATTTTAATACAGCAAGCCCAAGTTGCACAGCCTGTGATCTCAGCATGCTTCACAGAGAAAGCGCTGCTCCAAGGTCCAATTTGTTTCTGCAGTTCCTGCTAACTTGAAAGCGCACATCAAAAGCAGAAAGCAGGGGGGGACCAACACAGACACCTGTAATGCAGTTTTGACACAACCTGAATGACGGAGAAGACAGAGGTGCTGTCTAACCTGTCAAACCAGCAGGCCAGTGTCAGAAGTATAGTAAGGTAATTAATGCTGAACCATTAATGGGCTCAGGAACCAGAGACCAAAGTGAACCCATTGCATGAGCCCTAATGTGAAGGGTCACAGGATCAACACTCGGACTCAAGCGTTGCCAACTATCTAGCATAAGTCCCAGAAAACCCTTCTGTAGATTTTACCATCAAAACACAAGCCCTCCATAGGCAGCTGTATCTGGCCATGATGGACACAGCTGTCCGACACGCGTGCCCGAGGAGGAGGAGCTGAGTTCTTCATCTGGCAACTATGAGCGTTTTTCCTCTTGTGCGGTTTTGCAACTGTTTATTTACAATTTGCTTAACAAACTGTCAGCGCTTCCTCTTCATAAATGATTCAGCTGCCTGATCTGGAAGGAGTACAAAGTGCTCCTCTCCATCCCTGCAGCCTGTGTAAACGCCATGGTTAAGTGGCTATAAACTCCCGGCTAGCCAAACACATCCCCGGCCAGCTCTCTCTCTCTCCGGGCCGAGTCCTGACCACATCTGTGCTCCCTCCAGCTCGGTCAGAAAGTGACTTGTTGCCCTCTCCCAGGAGTCACAGCAAAGAGCAGCAGTTTAGCAAGCCTGACTTACCTTCTGTCCCAGACACTGCACAACCATGTTAGGTTACAGGAACTTTTTCACTGCCAGTGCTTTAATTTAGCATTGTACTGCTGCGCACTGTTTTAGGAGGAAATGACGGGCAATATTCAGGTACAGACCTGGTGTATTCCCACCACGAGCCCTGCAGTTGTGAGAGGGACAGATTCGGTTCTTCCTCAATAGTGATGGATCACAATTGCTGATGCTCTCAAGGTACTGTAGTGACTGGTATGGGCTCAGTGCTTGAGGCAGGAGCCGTGCACAGCGGTCAGGGAGGGGAGAGGCAGGAGCTGTGCCTACCTGGGCAGGTTGGGCCCTGGGGGGGCCGCAGTGGTGACTGTTTGAGAGGTGGGCGTCGGAGGTTGAGAAGGTTCCTGTGTCCTCGGTACTCTACCCATTCGGTACCAGATTCCCATGTTGTTCAGCTCTCTACAAGACAAGCGGCACACAACCAATATTTAACCCTGAAAACACGGTCATTCTCCTGTCGCATGCCTCGGCTTAGTCATTATTTTGCTGAGCATTAGACAGTAAACAAAAAACCGAGACTTTAAACAAGGATCTAACAAGGTCGTGTACTTAAATGAACACTGTAAACCGAGAAGTGCTATGCAGATCTTACCTCAGGGCCATGGTCAGTAAGCCTGTGTTGTCACACACAGTGGATTGTGTCCGGTTATAGCAGAAAACGCATGTTTTAGTTTATTAACTCTATAAAGCACATAAAAAAACCAGAATCTAACCGAGATCACCAAGGGTTCTGTCATTGGCCATAATGTGGCTGTCGCAGGTGCCCCAGGCTGCACAGGGAACCAGCTCTCCCAGCCAACCTGCGTGGCTGTCGGCAGGTTTCTGCTCTGGAGCCTGGAGACGAGCAGGCTGCCCGCTGCCCAGTCAGTCCTAATCAAAGCCTGACTGAAGCAGGAGGGTACAACAAGGAGTACGCTGGAACCTATTCAGAGTCACCGCACCAGGGCTCGGCATCCAAAGAGAAAACCTAAAACCTCCACGTGATTATCTCCACCGGGACACCACGGAACACAGCAGTTCAGCTGCATGCCTTGATTACCGGGCACGGTGACTCGTGAGTTTTCTTGCATTCCCTTGGCGAGCAGAACATGTGGTCAGCTCGACCCTCAACTACCACACATTAAGCAGGCAAACTACTCACCCTATAAATGTATACTGCGGGGGAGCCTGTTTAGATTTCCCAAGAATTCGGATGTCACAGATAGCGGCTTCGGTCGAGTCCCGAGGAATAAACTTTATACACAGCCTCCTTTTCCGGAAAGCCTGCTCCTCTGTGGACAAAACGAGCAATGAGTCAGCGGCCCATCTCTTGACTCTGATCCACCTTCCAGGTGAAAGCCCGGATTCCTCTGTGAGCGTCTCTGGAGCTCTGATCACCCAGCCAGCTCCTGCAAGCGGACTGGCCTTGCTCGTCTGAACAAAAACTATGTGAACACAATAGCGGTTGTAAACACGAACACACTGCAGCTTCAAAGAAGTAACCCAAATGCACAAGCATAGCTATTTATTTCCTATCAGCCACAAGGTTGCATTGATTTTATCTCTTGTACAACTATACAGGTTTTGCATTATTAGTAACAAATCATATTTAATATATTACAGAAATGAATATTAATTGGCTCTTCCCATTCCCCAGCCCTTGGAGACAGGTATAAATATAAACTCCGTATATATATACACACACACACACCATATCTTTCATTACATACTGAGACTGATACAACCAGCATTACTTTCTATCTTGGTAATGAAAACTCAAAGGATTTAAGCACTGAGCTGTAGAGGCAGAGACAGGATACAGTAAAAGAGAGAACTCGGAAAGCGCTGATCCAGTTGGGAACGCGTGAATCATTAATATTAGATAACCGCTATCTACTCATACTCATCCAAAATAAATACATAAATAAATAAATCCAACATAACGAAAGGCATCACTCATGCTCAGATAAACAATGACTCATGATTCCCTCCTTGCTCCCTCCAGGGAAAAATATGTTTATTTTATCCCAAAAGATTCTCATAAATTAGCCGAATTCGTGCTATAAAATATTCAGCATCTCAAGCAAAGCTGTCTTCAGGGAATAAGCACCATTTTGTCTGAGGTAGTCAAAACAGAACAAAATGAAATAAATAAAAAGGCTCGTGATGTTACATTTCTAGGAAAACGCTTGCTTACGTGTATCCACCGTCTCCTGAATAGGAATGAAGCCCACTGGCAGGGTGTCTTTTATATCAATCAGCTTCATGTCGACCAGCACATTACCTAAATGGCTCTTAAAAAAGGAAAAAAATAGCATGTCAGCAAGAACCCAGGGCTTTCTGCAATGGTTTAGGGACTCCCCTCAAAAACTCAAGAACGCTGAAAATGTCTTCTATGGGTTCGCCATCTTTCAGAAGGTAGAAAACGCGTCTTGTACAATCTTGGTGAAAATCTTTGATAGACACGGAGCCACTTGGGGCACCGACTGGGGTTAACTGCCTTACATCTGACAAAGCAGGGGGCAGTCAGGCTAGATCTTCTATAGAGTCTGCAGACAAACACGGGCCCTTCAGTTACCGGGAAGACGTTCAGGGACACTCACAAGCGATAAGAAGATACGGTGGTGGTCTATTGTGGTTGTGGTATAAGCGTACGATGCAGGGCATGGTTCTGGATTTTAGACGGACACGTCGGCGATAGCCCTCTTGTCCCAGCTCGTTCAGACTGGCAGAAATCCCACACGGAGCAGGAGGAAAAGCACCGCCAGGCTGCCGGATGGTCCGGAAGAGCCTTCCGTACGGCACCTCCTGGGCCCCCGGCATCGCCCAACGACTCAGGCTTTGTTCTCGTCTCAAACAGTCTGCCTACCTGCTTTTTATTCATTAGGGTTTCGTTTCTGCAATAATAAATTGCAATAATCCGCAGCATTCTGCAAGGAAGCGAAACAACTTAGCCATGACATGACGAGTTCGGAGCTCTGGATTCCGCTGTGTGTGTTATGTGGCAGTCATTACCATTAAAACCATTTTTTATTCATAGTTTTTATTCAGACTTAAGGCGGAATACGGATGAATGTTATTACTATGCATGAAACCATTTTTTTAAGCAACACAAGAAGAAAGATTTCTCCCATCAGGACCTGACAAAGGGCCATCTACCTCCAACCTAGAGTATGATAAATCACAAACTGTTTTCTTCCTACCACATAATTCAGTGGCTAATTTTGCAGAATCTGTTTTTGTCATAGATAATTACAGCAGGAGCAATATTGACTGGCAGACAAAATAGCTTTTGTTGATGGTACTGTCATGTTTTATTTGTATCAAAGTCCTTAAACTGGTATGGACGCTCATTTTAAAATGATACAGAGACACAAGAGAAATGGCAATTGTGTGATACATACTAAAACTCTGCAGCTCAGATCGACCTCTCTCGGCACGCCGCACTTAAGTGTTTTCAAGGATGAGAAGATTTAGCAGCACATCAAGCTCTCAACACTCATTATTCAATGACTCCACACCTCCACCACATTCCCTATAAATACAAGAACTTCAATTTTGTAACAATTCGAAACCCAGATATCATTTTGACGAAACCGCTTAAAAAAATTTCAATCCATTTTGCCACTAACATTGCTGACTCTCAAGCGCAGGTAGGTATTGTTTCCTTTCCTCTACAAAACAACCAACGACCAGATTCAATGAAAACTCCCCCCACAACAACAGGGCAGGTATAGGCCAGCAGGAAGCTGTCAGGAGGTGCTGCATTTGGAATTTGGGATTGGAGATTTGCAGTAAGCGCCAGAGTTTTAATTCAGGCCTAATAAGGGAGAACAGAAAAAAATGCAAAAGCATAATTTTGCATTTTTCCAATGAACCAGGTTGGCATAAAGCCATCAGATCTTCTGAAAGACTTGAGTACTGAACACTCAGAGAGGAGGACAGTCGCCACAGGATTGTGTCTTCGATGCACAAGCTCTGCCAAGCACAGACCCTCCCCATTGTGTTGGCCAGGTGTCATGTCTATCCCAACAATCCAACTTCAGTTAGGAGGAATCTGATTCCCTATAACAGCAACAGGGCTGTGACGTGCCACAATCCAGGAAAGAGGGTCACAGTTTAAGGAGGATTTGCAGCGACTGAATTTATCCTAACTGGAGGAGGATTCCAAGGGGAAAAGAAGTGAGAACTACGGATTATGCTGCAATGTGGAACATGGAAAGCCAGCTTCATAAGTAAAGGACACTGGGCTTTTCCGAGATGGGACAGGTGACAGGGCCATGTGCAGCACTGTGCCAGAGCCCGTCACACACGAGGCACTGGGGAGAAAAAACTTTTAAGGTGGAGCTCAACTTGCAACACATCGTATTATATTATTCGGAGAGTTGTTCTACAGTTCAGAGAGGAGAGGGTTTAACAATTCTACTTCAGAAAAAAGGCTGAGTTGCAATGTTAAGCTCTAGGCTAAAGGACATTCCGATGATCCTCTGGTATTTTAATTTGCTTGTATCGTCTTAGTCATCGTGCACTAAATCTGACCTTGGTTTTTCCTAAAAGGCGCCGAACGAAGTTATGGCCCCACAGCCCCCGCAGAGAAAAGGCATGTTGAAGGGTTAAAATGTGCCAAGATTTCCACCAGCTTGCAGCTTTTCCAGCTTTACAATGAGGGATGTATGCTAATGACTGAAGAGCCCCAGTGTGAAAGCAGGTCCAGATGTCCCCTGTAACGCTGACACCGTGTGATAAAATGAATTTAAAGTTCTAACATGTCTGTCATGCTCATTAGCCCAAGGGGCTCATTTTCGCCCTCTGCACAGCACTTCCCTGGAACGATCAGCAAACCGAGATGTAATCTTAAAATAACATCATGCTTCCTGCCATCCGGAGCCCCACCCCCACTGGAAGAGCGAGGGAGCAGAGGAAAACGAAGACCCCGGAGAGGAGGGGTCGACTCTTAATCGATAATTACAGCTTGGACGGAGTCGAAGTTCGGAACAAGCGATTTCCCCATATGATGAGGATGTCTTGTACATTACTGCAGACCAAAGAGTGAAAAGGGAATCAGGGCTGTTCCATCTCCTGCCAATCATACAGACCTCTGAGCTGCTGTTCAGGAACTGTTGGGGTTTCATGTTTTGGCATGCACCACACACACGGCCCCAGAAGCACTCCGATTACTGCCCACGCACAAGACTCCCAGCACAACGAGAACAAAAGACACTCTGTCCCGCACGTCGGGTTACACGTTTGAAGTGTCGTTTCTGATAACGCGGGACTTTAATGTTCAAAGTTCTCTTTTTTTGCCCCCCCACCCCCGAGTCGGACAGAATCATTGAAGAAACGCTGGGAGGGGTCCGAACAGTCTACTGGGCGCAGGTTTAGAATGGAAAAGACCAAAAGAAGAAACAGTTTGTTGATTTTGTTTTCCCCTATGAATAACCACAATGGCAACCCACTGGGGAAAACTATACGTGTGTGAGCCGGACAATGGCTCTGGTTTATCCATGCCCAGGAAGACCAGCGTGGCAGCCGCAGAACCCGGTGCACTCAACCCATCTCATGAGAAGCCTGCGGTTTCCAAACCGGACTGCCAGGCTTCAGAGCGCCCTGCTGCCCGGGCCTGTGGACACACCCAGGCCCTGCGACCGCCCCACGAGAGGCCGAGCCCTTCGCTCAAAGCTTCCAAGCAGACGCGCGGTGGTACTTACGTTTTCTTTGGAGAACGCTCTCGTGAAACAGAGATACCGTGTGACCTTGGATTTGAATAAGCCGTCCTTCCACAGGTCGGCATCTAAGCCATCTGTTGTTTGTGAAATCTGTGAAAAACAAGGAGGAAAGTGCATGTGTGAGGTGGGATAAAAGTTAATGTATGTGCAGTGTGTGTGTGTGTGTGCGCTTTCTTCCTTGCATATTTTACTTAATTAACGCTTGCCTGGGCTCTCACAGCATCTCATTAGTTCCCTGCACCAGGTACGAGAGAGCTCCAACTCCAAAAAGGGAGCTAAAAATATCGTCTCGGGAGACTACGGTGATTAAAGACAGCCTGACAAAGATCTGGTCTAACGAGGAGAGTGAAACTTTTTTTTTCTTTTTTTTGCGAATGCTCCATGAAAGGGTGATGGGACTCGCCGAGGTGGGAGGGGGTGGGGGGGAGCATCCTGGTTGAATAAAAAAAAAACGGCAGCAAACAAAGCTGTTCATTAGCGTGTTCGTTAAGGTTTTGCACTCTGTTTGATGTATTCCTACCCCAATGGCACGTGAAATTTTACATGCATTAAGGAAAAAAAAATACTGACGTTGCTATTCTCCTGCATCAGCCATAGGTGTTAAAATGGCAGGCATCCTGAAAAACATGTACAAACATATCCGAGTTCTGATGCGGGGGGCGGAAGGGTGATACTGTGATCAGCACGAAGGGTTTTTCATCAAATGTTAAATGAGACATTCCAAGTGAAAAGCAAATTATTTCCTTTATCTGAAAAACAGTTTCTCCAACTGCTGGCTTAATTCTTATGGAAAGAACCTAGCATAAAAAAGAGCTTAGACGTGGCTCTTTTGACAACAATAAGGAAAAAGACCAAACCTTCTACACTTAAAAATAATACTGACGAACTATGGTTTGGCCTGGCACAACAGCTGTGAGCATGACAAGATCTGCTGGGCGCAGGGCCTGCTGCAGTGCTTCCATGACCACTTATTCAGTGCTGTCAAGCAAACAGCCAGAGCCCACATTCTAGACAGACACTATACAGCAGCAGGTTGACAAAATTAGGCAGTAGATCAGGTTTTTCTGGCAGTTCAGCAGTCTGCCCAGAGCCACACACTGCTCTGACGCTGGACTGCTAATCCAGAGCCACACACCGGTCTCTGCGCCGGCGCTGGACAGCTAATCCAGAGCCACAACCCATACTGGTCATAGAGAGAGAGGGGATGCGAGGACAGTGCACCAGTACTCAAGCAAGCAGTACCCACTCTCATTCACAGATGCACAACTGCGCCCACAGCTCTTTACAAGACACGGCTTCGTGAGAGCAGTCGCACAAACTTCACAGCCGGCCGAGACTCTTCAGCTCGCACACTGAAGCTCTGCTTTGGTGTTAAAAAGTTCAGCAGCCTTTTAGAGAAAAACACAGAGTATTTTCAGTATTGAAGGCAGCAGCTTCTAGAAGAACACATTTTAGCTGACAAAAAAGGATGTAGAGCGGAAACAAATGTTGATTAAATTATCATCAAAACGCTGTCATGGGAAACAAGAGATCTATTTTAATTATTCGCTCCCGAACCTTTGGGAGGAAAGAGAAGCTGCATGCTGCAAGACTCCTGCCGGAACAGTCCGGCTGACAATAATGATGAATGGCCTGAAAAAACCCTTCATGATTAGGTGAGGTGAACAAGTTTAGGAAAATCATGCAAACCGGGGAGAGCAGACACCTCCAATCCTCAGAACAGTCCCTGGAGGAGCCATCCATCAACCCCCCTGCTTTCTTACAAGACAAACAGTCCTGGGCACTTTTTCCAGGTCAGTAGACACCACAACCTGTCAAAGCAAACAAAGGGATTGTTCTCCGAGAAGCAAAGTCAAGCCGGGGATTAATAAGGGCAGCGCGCGCGCACTCCGGACGGGAGCAATACCCCAGCGCTCCTGCTGCCGGACAGGCGGGCCGGCTGGGCGATGTGCCATGAATGAAACATGGGGGCCGCGGGCAGCCTGCGTGGCACAATCAACTCCTGTTTGCACCATTCCTGTTTGCACTGGGGAAGGAATAATCCCAGTATATCATTCTGGTTTAGGATGCTTAATTTAGGCATTAATTTCTTCTTAACACAGTTCATTGAAGGCTTAAAAGAAAAAGAAACAGCTGAAAGGAAATCAACGATCTAATGGGAAGGAGGGGATTAGTGTGAAAGCTCTCTCCCAGTGGTGCCAGCAGACAGACACTCCATTGCTGCCCCCCGATCGCAGCTGTGGAGCAACAGGCCTTGAGGAAGAAGCCATTCGGACAACGGGGTTAATCCAGAAGTGACCTGGGCGACGAGCACCACACTCTGCAGACCGGGGAGCCCTGCCTCCCGCACGAGGAAAAGGGGAGCCCTGCCGCCCCCCCGATGAGAAAGTCTTATCGAAGGTCTGTAAACAGCACCGCCAAGCAGGAACGGTGGAATGGGGAAAAGTTACAAGCAGGAAGTTCCACGCGGCACCAGATTAAAAACGAAGTGCCATTTCTCCTCCTGGTATAAGTGTGACTGATGCGCTCTGTCTCGGCATGCTTGTAAGTGTTTGATGTTGGGCAAGAACAGTAGCTTAAGAACAGCAGAGAATCCCAGCGGAGCTGTTTGATGTGCTGGGCTCTTTGTGTAGGAGCAGCTTCCTGCATTAAGAACCGCTACTGCAAGAAAAGGAAGGCAAAGGAGTTAATCGCTCTCATCTTCATGCCGGATTAAAGGGGGATCTATGAACATCATAATCAAACTGTGGCTGCCGACAAACTCCACAGCAACGGAGCACAACTTTGAATGATCCGGACGGGATAATTAATCACGGGTGGACAGAAGGAGTCCCCTTTAAGCCACGAGAAGTCTGACCTCTACACCTCTGAAGAGCAGGAAAGAAAAAAACAAACAGCGAAAGGATCAAAGTGCTGCAATAAACTGGAGCGGCAGGAAATGAAAAAGCGCCCCACTCCGAGAGGAGCTGGGCTTGTCACAGACTTGTGACCCAATCCAATCCAGACGGGCCCACCCACACAAGCCGTCCCCGAGATCCAAACCCGTATTCAAATAAAAGAGACAGTTTAACAACCCGGAAATGAAAAAAGAAACACGCACATAAAAACAATCTTTGGCTAAACACAGAATAAAAAGCAATTAAATTGTTGTTTTTTTTCCCCTTAACTCTCTCAAAGGACGCAGATCTGTTTTTCATCAAAAGGGTTTCTCAGAGCCAGTGTTTTGCTACATCTGTTTGTTTTCTGAATGCCCCCAAATGTTTTTCAAACAGCTTGGTCTTCTTCAGAACGCCAGCCCTGACACAATTCCGTTTTAGAAACCGCCGTCTGACACCAACTACGCCAGTCCCTTCTGTGTGATTAACACGTTCCCAATGTAGCCAAGTCCTTCAATTAGAGAGCATTTTTCTTGCAATTGGTAATCTTATTAGACACAGCACGCACGATGTCAGGATTTGTCTCCTACTCTGTAGAATTTCATTTATTTCTGTACTCTAATTCCTGCACTCTCATTTACTCCGAACGCACCCTCAAGCACGAGAGCAAGACGAAGATAAACTCGTAAGAATTTTTAAAACATTTTAAGCCAGTGACACAATAACAGAAGATAAGAGCAGGGGAGCTCAATGGCCAGGCCAGCTGCGAAGGAGCACAGGGATGTTAATCTCATGCTGAAGAGTAAAAGTGGGCTGTGGGGACTGCATATCAATATCAAATCCGAAGGGCAGTCTTGCTGTAGATATTATTTTCGGCCTGGGCAGAAACGGTAAGCAGAAACATGATCATCTGTGGCTAATATAATTAAAAATGCTACATCTATAAATTAGTTCTGGTGCTGTTTCACTTCTTAAGGACTAAAACAAATCGAAAACCCACAAAATATTACACACGTTTATCTGGTGTTATTGACTTTTCGACATTACTCGAAGTCCACTACAGAAAGCACACGGGTGCACCTACACTGCCCCATTTAAACGGGTGGTACACAAGTTTTTTCCAAGGACAACCCTCCCGACAAAGTGCATCAGGCTATTTTCCACCAGGGATTCAGACATTTAACCTCTCAAAGGACTGACCAGCTCTCCCAAAACCAGGGTGCATTATGGGGAATTCCACGCACTGAAGTTGCCGTTTCCAACACGTTAGGCCTTGCAAACGTCCTGACCTGCCAACGTCCTGATGTACAGGACCCACACCCTGTCTCGGAGGTGGCCAGCCCTATCCAGCTGCCTGCAACACTGCACCGGCTCTCAGGGCTGCGTTCTGATCCCCTGCGGTTCGAACCCGCACCGTCGGCGACCACTTCAGGCATCGCTTGCGATATCCATCAAGGATCGAATCTGCAAAGGGATTCTTTCCGAGACGGTCGCCAAGACCCATGACTTGGGCGCCGTCGTCTCGGCCTGGAAAGGCGGGAGACAGCCTTGGGAGGCCGCGACGCGCGCGGCGGAGGCTGCCGGCGTGCGCGGGAGACCCGGGGAGCGCGTCTCCGAGTCGCGCTGGAGGACACTGGGACTCGGGAGCATGGCCGCGATGGCGACACAGCCCCCTCCACCGTTCTCCCAGCACTGACAGGTCCGCCCTACCTCCTTCGCACTTGTCCCGCAGCCGAAATCCGGCTGGCAGGGACCCCAGGTGTGCGGAAAGAAAGAGGCCAGAGAGAGCGGGGGGGACGGAGACATGGATAGAGAGGGAGAAAGAGCTAAGAGCCCATCCCACGCCGTGTGCTATTTTCTGTTTGTTTTGCACCTTGTTAAACCCACAGCCAACTCCGAGCATCACAGCCTCCTGTTCCCAGGGGCCGTCGGAGCAGCTGCCCTACTTTTCCCCGCAGTTAATTGCAGGAACTTGTTGACGCCCCGTGCAACAGGGCGCTTCTTGTTCCTGACGGGGAAACTAAATTGTTAAGAAGCAGCTGGAGCCCAAGCGCCAAGCATCATGGGTAATCGCCACACAGTTTGGTAAGTAATTAGCCCCGGGTGAAGCTGGCAGTCTATCACAATCAATCAGAGGGCTCCGCAAATCCTCCTTAATGGGAATTAAAAAACAAATCTTTAACTCAGAAGCAGGACGTATTGACTGACAGAAAACAAACCTCCGTGCAGTAATTCTGTTCATCGCTGCACTCGTGTTGTCTGATATCCAAGACATCAGTTTCTAAAGTGTTTTGTTTTTTTTTTGACATGGAAGAACTGGGAAGTCCGGCATGCGAGAAGATTTTCACTTCCTACTATTTAAAACATCTGCAGCTAAAAGAAGAACAAGAAGAGCTGCCTGATTATTTGTATGAGTTTCACTTCTAAAACGCAGGGTGCCTATCCCATCCACAAAAGGGTTTTTTGGGGGGATTTGGCACAATCCGTTACTTGGCGAGCAAGCCTTCTGATCTTTTTAACGTACCTGTTTTGTCGACAAACCTGGTCAGAATTTCAGGCCCCCCCGTGAGATTTTCTCCGTCCCCGGCCCCAGATACAGATCTTCTCATTTCGCACTGAGCAAGAGAAACAAGAGAAGGAGCAGGACTCACGACGTCATAGCCCGTGGGAGCGCGGTTCCGGGACGCCACCACTCCCACGCCGGTGATCGGGTCCAGGGGCAGCTCGGGCAGGGCGTCGGACAGGTCTCGCACCTCGGGCATCTCGGAGGGGCTCTGGAACACAGGGGGGACGGTCAGCGCCAGGCGGCCACAGCGCTGGGAAGGGGCACCGGAGGGCACCACTGCCAATCTGCGCTGGACCTCCAGATATACAGGGCACCAACCAGGCACTTCTCATGGGAATAGGAAAGGTTAGTACAGCTGGAAAATAACTGCGCAGCGAGAAGAAAGCAAACCGCGAAAAGCCGAGAAGAAAGAAATGATACAGATACTGGGATCCAACCAGCTATGCAGGAAAAAAATGGCAAAACGCTTCCATTTTAATTGGCAAGAGACAGAAAGGGATCTAAATTGTGTTACATTACTTTAAGAGAAAAATCAAACTGCCCTAGTTTCCCCCCCCCCTCCCTTTTTTTAATCCTTAGAATTTCAAAAGAGAATTTTTTTTCCCTCCTTATAATTATACTCTTGCTATCCCAGATCCCACTGGCTTTAAAACGCGCCATTGAAAGTCGAACAAAAACCTCATTTTTAATTGTTTTTAATATGTTGGAATTAATTATTTCTTATTGTTAAAGTTTTACAAAGGAGGCTTTGATGGCTCTTGAATAGCTCCAATTTAAGATAATATCTCGCGAACAGCGAGCACCACAATCCCTTCTCCACAAAGAGAGCAGCAGCTGGAGAAGAAAATCTTCAGAAACTGGCTGCAGTCCACAGCCAAACCGATGCACTCTCTCCAAAAACAAAATCCACGCACACCGATTCCAAGAAAACTGCCCGGGCAATTAAAATATCCTCATCTGCCACCGAGCCGCGGCCCCACGGACAAGTCAGATCCCGAGTCTGGCCCAGATTTCTGGGGCACCAGCTCTGCTTGGGGGAATCCCAGGAAAGCGCGAGGGGGTGTTTTTCCATGATGCACCTGCTGCTGTGTTTTTGCAGTCGTGAGGGGAATGCACCCCACGCCCCAGGAGCCGGGCCTAGCCGGGAAACCAGATCCGATGCCTTCCTCTCATCCGCCAGCCTTTGGAAAGGCTACATCTGGGCCGCCAGGAATGGAAGAAGATGCTGTCAAAATCAAGTATGGACGTGCAGTGCATTGTTGCGCTGGGTACTGCCAGCAAGAAATTACACCGCGTCTCGGAGGTGGCCAGCCCAATCCATCTGCCTACAATACCTCACCAATTCTTAGGGCTTCATTCCCATCATTTGTGCAAACACATTGGGTTGCTAGATCTATCCAAAGCAGTACCTTGACTGCACACTGCACTAAAAGAGGGCTGATCTATGAAACCTGCTGAACTGCATCTCGCCACCAGACCGGGGCTCTCCACTCATGACTGCGCAGACGGACACCCACTGTAGCGGCTGACCTTCTAGAAATGTATTCAAATTCTCCACAATCCGTTTTTTCCACCTGAACCAGTTCGAAAGCAGGTATAAACAATACAATGCCCCCCCCCCGACTCAAGAAGCACATTGCAGCGAGAACATTCCCACCAGAATCACAGAACTGGGCTGGAGAATGAAGTTTTAGGAGTGCAGCTCAAAATGACTAACACCCAAACCCAGCCCAGCGCCTCGTGCTCTCGGTTTTAAATGCACTTCCAGTTCCCTTGGGCCCATGTGCTCTGGCTGTGTTTCAATGTTGGCCCAGACGAGGTCCGTCGGCTTGCCCGCGCTGTTGTAAACCTGTCAATGTGGGACCTTCCTTCCCCCAGGAATGTCCCTGATCGCTCTTGTCCGCACCAGCTCCAGAGCTGCCACTGCCTCTCTGTGACGTGGTGACCAGAACTGCGCCCGGTATCCTACACGAAGCAACGTCCAATTCTAACACAACATCCCTTGATCTAAATTCTACTTTTAACTCCGCATTATCACATTCTCTTTGCTTTTTACCTGCTTTCCCACAGCGACATATTAGACGTAAATAATGCATCAACATAAACACCTACCGTTTTTTTCCTGCGTCTTCTTCACGCCTTTCATCTTCTATTTATAGTTTTAGTACCTGCATGTACCACTCTGCACTTACAGAGTGTGCAGTAAATGTTATCTGCAAGTTTAAATATATATTGTTAAATTTCCTCTGCTGCTTCAACAGTGATTGCTAATTCTCCTTCTTAGGTAGCATTTTTTAGATCGGTTGACTAACTATACAAGACTCTACATCGCTGATATAAGCGAGGAAGAGTAGGAACCCTGATACAGATCCCTGTGGTATTCTACTTATAACTAACTCAGCCTCCTGGAGCATTCAAACCTCATCTCTACCGCTCAACCAGTTTACAATCCAAATACAAAACACCACTCTGAATGTCTACCACCTGCAACCTGAGAAACCCAATATACAGTATTATATCATACACTCAGAGCAGCAGCATGGAGTACTGATGAGGGCTCTGGACTTGGCTGGATCTTAGAGTAGGAAGACTGGAGCTGTAACCCTGTGTGGAGCACAGATGTGGTATCCCGTAGCGTCATACTCGTATCGCCATTACCATCACTTGACATGTTGTGGAAGACTTTTTTAGAATTTCGTGGTTCAGTTTTGTCACTCTCTTTCATGGATGGACGCTACATTAGTAATTTTCTGGTCAGTGGGTATTACCCACGCCTTGGCCCACAGCTGGGAGAGCTTTGCTAACGATCTGTGAAAAAACATCTTGTTTCCTTCAGTACGATGGGCATTTGTTAAGCAACGCTGGGCGAGAACAGCTAACCTGTTCGTGCTGCTTAGGGCGAGACAGGTTTTGGTTTTTGCTTCACTCAGAAAAATCGAACAAAAACAGAAAAAAAAGCAAATAACTGACAAAACACGATGGGCTATTTATAACCCAGGAAGAGAGTCGAATGGTCCTGTTTTCTGGCAGCTGCTGTGTCCTGTGCATCGGTTCAGAAAAGTCCAAACTTACTTTTGCTACACAGTCAAGAACGTATATGTGATCACGAGAGGAATATGAGTAGGTATCACTAGAGCTGTATCTGTGTGTGATTCCATGCGTGCTTTTGATCACACCAAAACAAAACGATACTTTGTGTTGAAGCCGGTGATTTTGAGTGATCGGACGTTTTGGGGCAAGTGCACTTTAAGGAAATTTCAGTGTGTAAAACATGTCAGAATTTGGTTGCTTACCACCTGAGGGAGTCACTGCACGATGTCTGGGACCCACAGAGCTCACCAAACTCTTTGTGCAATCATCTGAGGTGCTCTCCTACAGCCACTCCGAATTCTTGCCTATATTTGAGGGGTTGTGATTTCAGTCCAATAATCCTTTTCCGGACAGATAACCATCATGTGAACAAGTTACTATATCCACTGTGAGACACTCCGGTTTTGTATGTGCGGGTTTCCTGTAAACTGACATGTTGGTCTTAAAATTAAACTGCAGTACATAATAGCAACTGCATTACTTAAGTTTCCTTAGTTTAAAAAAAGATTTTAAAACTACTGACTGTTTTAGCTCTTGTAGGCTCTTGTGCTGGTGCTGTGATTGATATGTCAAAGGTTACAGATGTAGTGTTGACGTCAGTGATAATCACAATAATAAAATGTGCACTGTAAAACACAGACTGTAAAAGCAGACTGGTAACCCATGGGAAAGGATGGAATTCTTGGAGTCTGGACCCTTATAGGAAGATAACATGCCCAGCAGTAAGAAAATCCAAACCACTTAGGCACAACAACTGTTCATCAGTTCATCTACATACTTTATATGATACGATAACACTTTGTCTGATTTCTCAGAAATTTGCTTTGCATCTAAGCAGCTATGTTTTAGACACACTTTCAACAAAATGTATTTATAGTACAAGTGAACACTACATAAAAGACATCAGCCCCTACAATCACTAGGCGCCACTCCTACAGGAATCCACAGAGCTCACCACAAGCTGTGAGTGTACTGGCCCACAGTCAGCCCGAGCCCCTGTAATCACACTTTATCCCTTCATTGTACACAGATGTATATACTGTACACACTGTCATACTTAACACAAACACACTGTATCCTGCCACCATTTTAAATTACCCATCTTTAAAAAAACTAAATTGTAGGGCAACACTTCACGGCTAATAAAGCACATTATTAGGTGAATAAGTGTTTAATTCAGCCCCCCTGTATCAAAGCAGATTGACAGTCGGCTGCTTGACAATACAACTAAAAAAAGTATTTCACCCCTAAAAATGGAAAGCACCCTATTGCAGCAAGTCCACTTCCAAAACACAGGTCCAATTCATTGCTTCTATCTCGGAAGAGGAACTTCTCTTTGAATCCATATAACATTAAGAAACCTGAAGCTGAACATCTAAAAGGACCTTAAAAAGCAGGCCTACAGGCTTCAGTTGAATGTGCTCTAACTGCAGAGATGCAAAGGCACACAGGCCTACATGTGCACCCTTTCAAGAAAAGGATGCAGCACAAGGTTCTCTTCATTTAATAGCAATAGCATATTCAAGTCTATCCAAACAAGCCACCGACAGCTACAGTTTTCAAACAGCAGTACTTCAAAAGACATGGGGCCCTGCATTAACAAATGACAGGCAAGCCCAGTACAAATGTGTGGCAATCCTATATTTGCTGAGAAATCCACTAAATGGAACCTATTTTTTTCCATGCCTGTCTGAAGTACATCTAGTTTAATGTATGCAGTCCTGGTAAGAAAATTAGTGACTTCGCAGAGCTTTCCTCTGTGTATTATTAAATTAGGTTTAAAGTATTTTTGCAGAGTAAATGACACAGTTATTGCATTCAATCTCAATGTTTACTGAATTTATTGTAATTAGATTTATTGAATTTAGAGGATTTACTGTGGCAGGAATTCTCTGTTTAGAAAAGTTAGCTGGAAGAGTTATTAAAGAAACCAAGGACTACAAATTAGCTTACAGGAAGAGAGTGTTTTTTTCATTTATTCTCCTCCTAATCAATCTGACTTTACCCGAATGCGATATGCAGTTCTGTTGCAAACCGGCTTTCATTGAAAAATGCATGTTCAGATGTGCAATCCGAGGACTCAGTGCCGATGATAAACTCGCCTTACAAACTTTACTCTGAACACTCAGTCATTTAAAATGATTTACCAGATAAAAATACTGAATACCTACACAGAATATGGACTACACAGTCAGTAACACCAAGACACAAGTCCTCCAGTTTGGAAACTTCCAGTCCTTGCAAGGACATCTGACAATGCATGCATGTCCACCTCAAATACATACAAAGACCTGATAAATCCACAGTCTTGATGTGCAATGTGCTAACAATGCTAACGTTAACAGTTTCGCAATGACACAGTATTGTACCGAGGAACTTCTAAGGAACTCTAAAAACCTGACTTGCCTTGTCGCATTTTTTCATAAATGTCAAGCGAATCCACGAACTGGAAGATAACCTGTCCAGCAGTAAGAAAATCCCAACAAATAAGGCACAACGACTGTTTATCAGTTCATCTACTTACTTTATAGGATATGATAACATAAGAAAGACAGGACACAAACGACAGAGAGGAGGCTCCTTATTCGGCTGATCTCGCTCGTACGACTGGTAGTAGTGAACGGATTCTCCAATAATGTGGTTGGGCATCTTATTCCAGATGTCCACAGCCACTGATTTCAAGACGCGTCTTCTGTTCCCAGTCTTAAACATGCACAGCCATTCAGCCTACGGTCCGGTTACTGAACAAAGAATACCTTTCATCACACAGCAGATTTTTGTAAATGGGCTGCCTGGGTTCACTACTGACTCCAGCGGGAATTTAGAACTGAAAGCAGGAAAGCAGTTCCTTACACAAAGAATGGTGGGTGACTGGAACCTGCTAACCCACTGGATTGAAGCCGACTCTCCAGTATCCTTCCTGAAGCAACTGGACTAAATTTGGGTATTGACAAGCCAATGAACAACACAACAAGCAGGCCAAGGACCAGATGAGCACATCTGCTACACAGTGCCACATCCCTGTGGCAAGAGTGTCTCTCCTACACAGTTCAACAAGAGGTGGTGCCAATCCTGGTCATCATTAAAAGCCCAGAGCAATTTGTCCTTTAATTTACATGAAAATCAACCCTGAATGGGTCAAATCTCAAAAATGGATCAAAAGCACAATCCTGTGGTTTCTTACTGCTGCTTGCTTAGGTTCAAGACCAATCCGGATGAAACTGTTCAGCACCTGACGGAGTTACGCTGGCACTGCTTTGAATGGATGGCAAGACCTTTTATTTGAAGGAGACAAATGCTCTTGACCTGTCAGAAGAAATGAGGAGCAGACAATGCCGTGGAAAAAGGTGCCTTCTGCGTCATTTGTGTTAAGAAATTAGCATTAAATGCCATCAACATTAAAATCCAAAGCCCACCTCAAACACCTGGAGTTCGATCAAGGAAAAACACGTGCAAAACTCAATATGTGAAACTCAAATGTTTCATACACTATATATTCAAGAAGATAAAAAGAGTTAATAAGCTGTACTGACAAAAACGTGTCATGAATTGTGTTTTTTTTTCCATTTAATGTTAAACACACTTGTATTTCTTAACACACAATATAAGGAATTGTCCCAACAACGATTTCCAACACATAAAACAGGCTGTGTTCTGCGTGTTTAGTTAGTAGGTTAACCGTATCATTTACATTTAACCACACTGCCTCAAAATTTCAATGAGTGACCCAACTAACTGCAGGGTAAACAAACCATAAAAATAATGAATGGGCGAAATCTTTGCAACTTATTATTCTAAGAGTGAACACTTCTGACTTCTGGTTATCAAACTTTTTTTTTTTGTTTCACAGCAACATTTAGAAGAACATGTAGGATAATTTAATTTATCCTAGTAGGACTCGTGGTCTACGTTGTCTCTAGAAACATGGATTTAACACAGACGACTTAAGGGGATGAATAATTCGCACCCCCTCATTCGTCTTTAAAACTTGAAATAAAAGCTTTATCCTACATTATTACAAAGGAGACCGCTAGATGTATAACTCTTATATCTTTTATTTCTTATTTTAGAAGTTAAAGCCGTTTTCCCCATGCAGATCCTAAATACTGTAACTAGTCGATACAATTAAGACCGTTCCTTGCGAATACAACACAAAAAGAATAATATAACACTGTCAACGTAATATATAACTACTACAATACTCTTTTAACATCCCATAAAAGGCAAGAAAAAAGGCAGCCCCGATCAAATCTTGTAAAATAGAGAATCGTGAACTACGGGCATCGGACCGGGGTTCATGTAGGATTTAGTAAACCTTTCAACAATATAAGAAAGGCCCCCCCGCTGGCCTACTGAAAACAAATATTTTAAAAGACGAGTTGATCTCGGATTCATGTTAGTTTTAAGTCTTCTTTACATTTTCGCAACTTAACTGTTAATCGCGGCACCTCGTCCCTCGTCCTTCTCAGACAAAAGCAGCTTTTCATTGCCAGAGGAGCTGTGAGACAGAAGAAGCCTCGGACTCGCCTACAGGCCGCAACGAAGAGAGGTAACGGGGAGGGCGGCTTGCAGGGAAAAGCCAACCCCCGCTAGAGGAGGTTAGAAGCAGGGAGGCAGCAGCAGCAGCAGGAAAAGCAGTTACTCATCGTCAGTTTCTTACCCCGTGAAGTCAACAATTTAATCTCACAAGAACAAGCTCTGATTTATTTTTTTTTACTGATTCTTCGTTTTTCCTCTTCTCCCTCCTTCCCCGACTCACGGCCGCAGATCCTTCATCCCTTCCGGGATTGTTAATCCCGACTTTTGTTTCTTTTTAGAAATCATTAACAATTAAAGAGGCTCCTATCGAAACAGCTGATATTTAGGAGTTACTGAGAGAGACCCCTGCTTTGCAGACGCGGAACTACTGCCTTTTCCCTCCCGAACATGAATCAAAAGAAAAAGATTATCAGTCACATTTCTGCAGCTCGGACCGGTGAAAAATATTAAAACGGGAGTGGGACCTCAGAAATTATATCTGAAGGTGAACAACAAAAATAATCTTAATAATAATAATAATATACACATCAATTTTTTGTGTTCAGTTATTACTAATACATAAATTAAGAGTGTACATTACATATTCAGAATACACACCTTATGTTTTAATAAAATAATTGTTATCCTGTCATGCTTGTCATAGATTGTTATTTATAGATATAAATGAGACATTCAAATAAAATTACCCACCCACAAATGCCATTAAAAAGCACCTTTATTAATGGATTATACAATTGACAGAATACACCTTCTCCAATGCAGTCGACACACAAATGCTGATTTTAAGGTCTGTGTGACCTGTAGATTTTCTTGTTTTTCAAGGGGTCTGTCGTGTTTACTTCACACAATATAGCACTTGAACAGTGACGGACAGGCCGACAGACACAATGTGTCAGTCTGCAGTCCTAATGAGCCTCAAGTTCCAGTGAGTGACAAACAGAGACATAGCTAGTGAGGTGACATCACTTCACCTCCACATCGGCAGCATCACAATAAGGGGAGTGATGTTTTGAGAGCATCTTTGCACCATGGGTACACCCTGCAATTCTAGTGCAAGTCATTGTTTGCAAGCATACGCCAGTTAGAGCTATCTGACCACTATACAACTGAAGTGCACTGCAATCCAGACTTCAGGGTGATGGGAATGAGACATTGCTTTAGTGAAGTGCAGGACAGGTTTATCCCAAAGAAATGGATTTGACTGACTTACACAAGGCCTCAAACTAGGTTTCTGGACAGCCTGGGCATTTTCTGTTTGTTCCTACTGAGCTGCCAACTGCCTAATTGAGCTCCAGGAATTTTTCAGCATGGATATATATAAATATGACACTTCTTTCCAAACTCAAAAGGATGCTACATAGGTCTAAAACCTCAAGACAGGCAGATCACATGCCAACTATTTTTAAACGCATGATAAATATTTCCATTAAAAAAAAAAACTTTTTTTTTAGCCATTAAGTGAATTGAGACCTTAATTACACCACTCTCTCCAAAAAGGACCCTGTGAACTTAATCCTAGACTGCATTTGGAAATGATCAATATTTAACATTTAATATTGCTAATAACAACTTCTTCTGCTTGTATGTAAAATTTAGGTTCCTGTTGCAACCAGAGCCCGGCCAGTTCATTCTTTATTAAAAGCTGGGGAACTTGTTCTAGAGCTTGCACTGAGATGCCCCAGAGTGTCCAGCTGAACAAACATCTCTGAGCCCTGCAAGCATGTTTCCAGATGGGCCCCATGCCTGTTGAGAGTAAAAGTATGACTTGTCCTCAGACACCACAAACATCCTACAAGGGCTGCCCTTAAACTTTACCAGCTCAGGAAGATGAAGAGACGTAGTGAGCTCCTTCACCACAAAATAAAAATCAAACAGGAAAGAAAAGAAAACTGAAAGAGAAAAAAAACTGTGCCGGTTAAGGCAGGGCTGGGAGTTTTTGAAGACTGACAGAAAAGATCTGTGTTGAGTTCTTGATATGGGGCATGTCTGGAGAGTTCTAGTGATGTTATCAAGGCTTGGCCCATTTGAAAATGCCAACGTGGAGCTGTGATCAATAGATCTATAGCAATGCACCCTTTGAATTGGGGTCAGTGATTTGATGGTACACCACACTGGAATAAGCCAGGAGCTCCTGGAGAGATTCATTTGAAAGTGGGCCATGAAACTTTTTGTGAATAAACCTTGTGCTAGCTGTTATATTTTATACTTTATTCCTGGGAAGATACAGTAAAGATAGACTTTTAAATGCCCCAGACCAGAGATAAGTCTTCTCTTAGAAACCCCTGTTAAAGACAGCAGCGGCAGTTAATCTAAAAAAATAAGTTTATAAACAGATTAATAAAAATATTCCTGTTAGAAAGATACATTAGCTCATCCTGGCAGTAAAGTAAGACCCACGTGGTTCACCAGTATTGTAACTGAAAGACTTTCTGTAAATACATCATTTGCCCCAGCAGCTAAAAGCACCAATTTGAGATGAAGGTGAATGAAAACATTTGATTTACCTCACGAAACATTAAATCTCGATGTGAAGTAATGCATTCACACAAAGTAATCTATCTAAACCTTGAAACCCGTTGTGCTGACTGATAGAAGGATTTTAAATAAAATCAATAGAGGAAGAACAGTGGAATCTGGAAATTTGTGGTTGTTACAGTGGCAGAACAAGACTGACATGCTTGCATAAATCATTTTGTGATGATCTCAACAAGACTCGGTTGGTTGGTAATATAATAAACAGCCTGACACTGGTAATCTGGATAGAACATTGCGGTGCCATTTATACCTAATCCCCCGCAGGAGAGAAATTCCTGCCCTGCTTCGTTCATTTATCCCCTGTCAAGGCATCACAGGACCCCAGCTCCTCAGGATTTAAAGGTACAGTTTCCAAAACCCTCTAAAAAAAACGTTACAACTCCTGCGTGCTCATTCAGTGTTCCTCTCCTGAAATTTCCCTGCGTCAAACTGCTCGTTGGGCAGAGCTCTCTGATCTCCCCAGGCCTGTGCTGTGCCTCTGCCCTCTCTCTCTGTCATGGCGTTCCGTAACTGTGGAGACTCCACGATTTCCCTTCGCTGCCCTACACCGCGCTGTGCTTTTACACCGGTACGCCACAGACTCTCCTCACCTGGGGTTGCAGACATTTCCCACCTGCTCCTCACTTCCTGTGAGCCCGGGGACCGGCAGGAGAGGCGAGGGGGGGAGTGGGGGAGTGGAGCTGCGATTTCACTGATGCGCTCGTGTTCATCTCTGTGTATGGGTTCTGCCAGGTGGGATGCTTAAAATTTGAAAAGGCAATCTTTTAAGTGTCCTAGATCAATACTTTTTATATATATAATGTGTGTGGTAATGCTAGATTTAAAAGCATTTTGTATATTTTGGCCAGTGCTTCCAAAGCATGCAGGTGTAGAACAGGACTTAATGCATTTTTATACAAAATTCGTATTCTATATGCTGGTCGCTTGCAGATTAGAATGGCATATGTTTAGCAATAATATTATTTATGGTACCTGAAAGTTTCAGGCTGTTGCACAAAGCTAAGGTATGCGTATACGTGATCTAACAACTGGAATCAATTTCCTGTCGTTAAACTCTGTTGATGACGGGCGATGACGAGGTCTGACTGGATCGTTTCAAAGGGGAGTTGAGGAAGACGCTGTGGGCAACGAGGGAGAAAACGGCTTTTGGCGGGGAAGTGAATGCGTTTGCCAACGCTCCAGTCCTCCCGAATTCGATCTGCTGGGGATCAAAGAGGAAGGACAGAAGCTGTGGAAGTTAGTGTGGTCGGACAAGACCTGTGGGGTCTGTTCTTCCTGATTTGACTCTCAGGCTTTATCTTTGACCCGCAATCAAGCATCTCACCATTCCTTCCAGCAGTTTGAGCGGCCTGCCTCTCATCAGCTGCTTGGTGATGGACAAGGCCCAGATTTTCTTCTTTCTTAGAAAAGGCAGAGTCATTAGTACTGAAAGCAGAAAAATGATGTCTAAGTTTTAATGAAGGCCGAGGGACACTCTGCCACCTTTTTCTTGTTAACAGAATTAACAGACTCCCTCTCTAAAGCAGGAGATGCAGTACCAAGGTCTCCCCAGAGAACTGGTTTTCTCCTGTGTTAAGTGACAAGAAATATCAGAGCTGCAATGCTAAATGCTTAATAATTGTATTGAGAATATAGACAGATTTGTATTATTTTCTGGAGTTTTCTTGTTAACAATTAATGATTTCCTGCTTAAGTGCGTGTCTCCAGTGTATTGCGTCCTGTCGCCCTGCCATGGAGACTTTAGCAGCTTTTCATTTCTTCTTGCTCCAGCGTTAATGCTCTCCCATGTTTTTTTTTTCACACAGCCAACCTCTTGCTAACTAGAAGGAAACTAGGAAAAAAGAACCACTGCCTGATTCCGCCACCGGAAATCTAGCACTTGCTTTCAGAAAGTGATGAAAGAGCTGAGCTTACATCATGAAAGTGGAAGAGCTAATGCTACGGGCATAAAGTTGTAAGAAGGCACCAGTCGACACCTTGTCATGACAGCGGCAGAGCTGAATTCCCCAGGGGGTTGTGCTGTGCTGAAACACCAGTCCAGTCCTGGTCTGGGATGAGAGCAGTTCTGGATAGGAAATCCTGCCTTAGGCAGAGTTACCCCCCTGTTGGTTGCACTCTGTAACTAACTCATGGTTAAATCCCAGCCTCCGATCATGAACACATAGACTTAATCACCCTAGTACTGCGCTGGTTAAATCCAAAACATGTTCATGGATCCTGATGGGGGATCCCGGCTTGGGCACGCTGGTTTTTATGTGACCACGTCTGCAGATCTGATAGATAGATACTTTATTGTACACTGCTGTGTACATTGGTCTTTGGCATCTCCCACAGAAGTACAAAACACACAAGCAAAACATAAGAGTCACACTAAATCACACGAAATCCCAACACCAGTATGTGATAAATAAATAGGGAGTGGGGGGACTACATTTACACACCTTCATGGAGTAGCTTCTGTCTTCCTGGTGGGAGTATTATGAATGGTGGGTGTGTGATCCTTGCCACTCTGAGAAATGTATTGTAAAGATGAAATGTAATGATGTAATGATTTTTTTTTCCAGTCTCAGAATGGCACCTGGACACATAATTGCTGCGTCTACGTTTTAGTCAGTGAATAATCTGATAAAGGTGTTACAGTGGGCATATAACCCAAAGCTAAAGCCGTGAGCCTCTGTTTCGTGTTGGTGAAACAGTGCTGACCAGCACAAATGAGCTCAAGGCATCCCTTCCAGTCTTAATAGGATTACTGTCATCTCCCCTGCTGCGGCTCCAAGTCCTTATTCCACGAAGAAAACCGTTAGAGAGCACCGTGGATTGCCTGGAGAGGCTGTCCCACAGGGAAGGCTCTGGGAAAACTG